GATAAACTAGTGGGACATAAGAATTTACATTTGAGGAACTCACTTCCGTAACGCAGCAAGTCAACATGCACATAAAAACACTGTCAACCATTAACAAACAAAAAACCATCAGTAAAAAATTTTAGAGGGAATTTTTATTTTGTATTTTTCAAAAAATTGTAAACACAAATTCATTCGCTCAGAAAGCAACTAAAAGCAAAACATAGGCAGGCTGGAGATATACGACTCATGGCGGGTTATGTGGTACATGTCACGCTCTTCACACATTCTTGGCGTCTTTGAGCATGAAGGGTTTCTTGGTTTCAGTCGTGTGAAGAGAGTTCCTTACACGCAGCTAGCTGGACCATCGGGAGCGAAAATGATCCGTGAGTTGAAAGATTTCATAAAGCTGCATCTACTGCCAAAGTTGCATCTATTGTCGAAGTTGAATCTATTGTCAAAGTTGCATCTGTTGTCGAAGTTGCATCTGTTGTCAAGCACTCCGGGTGGATGGGACTCGTTAGCCTCGGACGGCAACCCATCTAAGAGAAAGCAACCTCTGAATTCAAACCAATAGCCAGAATGATCAACAAATTGATCGTGGGGCCCCTCAAATAGAAGTAATCATTAAAAAAAACCATCTGAAAACTCTGCAACATGATCACCAAAGTTTTTTGTTGACATGCTCAAAGCGCCATCTGGTAGCAGACCCTGCGGGACGTCATGTACCGGAGCCAGTCTCAGAGTGCATTGGGTTTTTTGGGGGGCCTCTGCTCTTAGTCTTGGTATCGCAAAATCAAATTTTAGAGATATCTCTTTTTTTTTTTATTGTCGGCACCTGCATGGCTGTCGTTACTTGGCATCATATGATCATGCTTTCTTCGTGGAATATGTGTCATGAATGTATCCAGTTAATATATATATAGTCATGATTTTGATCCGAGGTACCAGCTTTGTTTAATATAATGTAAGAACCAGTGTAACCCGAGTGTGAACAGCGCTCTGCGGCCTCGCGTGAGAACATGCAGCCCACAGAATGGTGGGCAAGAGCACTTTATGCGATAAGGTCCTCGCCCGGTTGGTGGGGGGTCAGACCCGCGGCCCAGCCAGATGGCGCTTTGATGCCATTAGATCACACGACAGCGACAAGTGTACCCCCAGCCCTATTGTTGCCGTCATCAGGGTCTGCCTTAATGACCAATCGCTTGATGGGGCTTCTTAATGGAAATTGGTCGAGTCCAGGGTGGAGGATGGTCGGACTAGTCACGAGCAGGGTCCCAGAGGGGGGAAGGTGATAAACATGACACGGGAGTGGTAAGGGGGGTGGGGTTGGCGAAGGGTTGGTAAGAGGGGAAATGATGGATGGACAGATGAAAGAGAAGGTTTAAAAAAACACAATTTTTAAATTAAAAACTTAAGTGAGTCAGTCAACGATGAAAGTCATGTCAGGGATCTGCAAATTACAAACCATGGCTCGAATCTTGTCCGACAAACAAAAAAATCACAATAGCTCAAATAATTCGAGTGAAATACAACTTCCCAACTGTACGACCATAAGCGATATGAACTTAGTTTTAACTTATTAAATTAAGAATGGGTGGCTTTGCGAGCTAAATCCCTACAGTAAAGCCATTTGTCAGTAGCAGGCTCCTCTACTGCCTCACTGAAACAGATCCTGGGGTCGCCTTTTAAAAATATATACTTCTTAGAGAGGTCCTCTTTTTAGAGGATGTTCGTTGACACTAAGACTTATTGTGGATCAGGAGGTCACGAGCAGGCCACGAGCCACTGTCCATGCATTCATTCCTGGAACTCACCAACCATTTTTTTCAATCGCCAACAATCATCCACACATTTTTTTTTTTGAAAACCTATCAGAGTTTTTTCCAGCCTTTTTAAGACATTTTGTTTTTCTGCGAATTTTGATCGTCCCAATCATTTGGAATGTCGATCGTCCCAGTCATTTCGAATGTTGGTCGTCCCAGCCATTTGGAATGTCGGTCGTCCCAGTCATTTGGAATTTTGGGCGTCCCAGTCATTTGGAATGTTTGTTGTCCCAATCCCAATCATTTCGAATGTTGGTCGTCTCAATCATTTGGAATGTTGGTAATCCCAACAATTTGAAATTTTGGTCCTCCCAATTATTTGGAAACTTGGTCATCCCAATCATTTGGAATGTCGGTCGTCCCAATCATTTTGAATGTTGGTCGTCCCAATCATTTTGAATGTTGGTCGTCTCAGTCATTTGGAATGATGGCCGTCCCAATCATTTGGAATGTCGGTCGTCCCAATCATTTTGAATGTTGGTCGTCCCAATCATTTTGAATGTTGGTCGTCTCAGTCATTTGGAATGATGGCCGTCCCAATCATTTGGAATGTCGGTCGTCTTGAATGTTGGTCGTCTCAGTCATTTGGAATGATGGCCGTCCCAATCATTTGGAATGTCGGTCGTCCCAATCATTTTGAATGTTGGTCGTCTCAGTCATTTGGAATGATGGCCGTCCCAATCATTTGGAATGTCGGTCGTCCCAATCATTTTGAATGTTGGTCGTCTCAGTCATTTGGAATGATGGCCGTCCCAATCATTTGGAATGTCGGTCGTCCCAATCATTTTGAATGTTGGTCGTCTCAGTCATTTGGAATGATGGCCGTCCCAATCATTTGGCATTTTCGCCATCCGAATCATTTGAAATGTTGGCCGTCCCAATCATTTGGAATGGTGGTCATCCCAGCAGGGTTGCATCTAGAGGTAGATGAACACGCGGCTGTAACTTTGTGTAGATTATTTTAAATGTTTGCTGAGATGTATGAATCTCATGGGAGATGTATGAATCTCATGGGAGATGTATGAATCTCATGGGAGATGTATGAATCTCATGGGACAGAAAGGAAGGTACTTCATGGGCGGGTGGAGCAGCAAAGTCCAAGGGAGAGCTCTGTGTCCTAGTTCCTATATAGGTGCATAATCCAGTGAATGTTTTCATTACTTTTGGGATCGGATTGGCATGACCCGTTACCTAGTATGCCCTGACCTGTTACGGCCTGGGGGAGGGGGGGTCCGTATGTCAGGCGTGCACCACCACTCTTATGGTCAACGCTTCCGATGAAAGTGTGGTCGCGAGATGTGACGGAATGAGATGGGCTGGACGTGTTAGGTAATGTCTTCAGAGACATGACCTGTGCCGCAGGCAAACAATCACCCAACACGAGGGCCCCCGCACCGTGTTGTTTACTCATGAATAAAATCTTGGCCAATGATAAAGCCACAATGTGTGGAGCTTGGCGGTGTGAGGCACGGGCTATATTTAATCTCACGTGACCAACACTCGGTTATGGCAGGAAGTGATATGCTTCAATTTTTGGGGAGTCGTCAGAGAAATATTCCAAATGGCAATAAATGCCTTCAAATATGGGGGATCTAGTGGGACAGCTTCATAGTTGAGTGATATTTCCTGGGGGAATAAATGGGACAGTTTAAACGTTGAATGATATCAGTGCTATATTAGGATGATCCAACTGACTTGCGGATCATGGCTCGTTAGTGGACCTTTGACGCCCCACTTAAGAGATGAGTTGACCAACACATTAACTGACCTATTGGGTCAGGGTTTATATGCCTATGAACTTTATGCAGTGGCGTCACTCTATTTTGCACTGCCTATATCACTAATTACCAACCATTTAAACAAAAAAATCAAGACTGCATATTGAAGAAGGAAAGTGACCCCCTTTTATAGAGGCCTTTGGCATATATGGCCCTGATACATTAAAAAAAATAATATGGTAAGAGAGCAGGACATTGGGAAAAGATGCAGAATTATGAAGTTATTCAAACTATTTTAAGATACCGGTTCTTAATTAAAATTTCTTGAAAATCATTATTTTTTTTAAAAAGATCATTTGTTCACTGTTTAAGTCGGATACCCCCCCCCCCTACTTCTCCCCAGAAATTTCTCCGTGAGCCCATTGGTGGTTACGACAATGGCGTAGATAGGGATGGTGTCACACTATGGGAACCAAGTATTTTTTACCGCACCCCCCCCCCCCCCCTCTTTTTTCTAACCAAAACAATGTTGCAGTTTGCCGAAAGGAAATCCAGCTCCCCCCCCCCACACACACACAATTTTTGCACCCCTTCTTACGCCCCTGCTTCGCGAAAAACGGGTTGTGCAATATAAGTCTATTGAGATAGTTTTGGTCCACTTAAAAACACATAATTATTTCTAACAATGACAACCAGATTCCGTAAATTTGCAACTATGACTACCACATTCCCTACAGTTGTAACTATGACCACCACATTCCCCACAGTTGTAACTATGACCACCACATTCCCTACAGTTTAAACTATGACCACCACATTCCTTACAGTTGTAACTATGACCACCACATTCCTTACAGTTGTAACTATGACCACCACATTCTCTACAGTTGTAACTATGACCACCACGTTTCCTGCAGTTGTCACTATGACCACCACATTCCCTACAGTTGTAACTATGACCACCACATTCCCTACAGTTGTAACTATGACCACCACATTTCCTGCAGTTGTCACTATGACCACCACATTCCCTACAGTTGTAACTATGACCGCCACATTCCCTACAGTTGTAACTACTACCACCACATTCCCCACAGTTGTAACTATGACCACCACATTCCCTACAGTTGTAACTATGACCACCACATTCCCTACAGTTGTAACTATGACCACCACATTCCCTACAGTTGTAACTATGACCACCACATTCCCTCCAGATGTAACTATGACCACCACATTCCCTACAGATGTAACTATGACCGCCTCATTCCCTATAGTTGTAACTATGACCACCACATTCCTTACAGTTGTAACTATGACCGCCACATTCCCTACAGTTGTAACTATGACCACCACATTCCCTACAGTTGTAACTATTACCACCACATTCCGCACAGTTGTAACTACGACCACCACATTCCCTACAGATGTAACTATTACCCCTTACATTCCCTACAGTCGTAACTATGACCACTGCATTCCAACAGGTCTATTCGTTGACGTGGGAAACAACTACTCAGTGCTTGACCACCCAAACATCTGTTTTGTCTACGACTACGTGGGTTCCAAGGATGAGGAGAAGAGCCAGGGAGACTTTGTAAGTACCCGCCTGTGAATGGCCACTGTGACAGACGAGGAGACGTGACAGACGAGGAGACGTGACAAACGAGGAGACGTGACAGACGAGGAGACGTGACAAACGAGGAGACGTGACAGACGAGGAGACGTGACACTTGTGGCGTCATGTCAGATAGAGTGACGTCTCACAATGCAACTACAAGTTTGGCTTTTGAAACGACAACATTTCTAATGTGCTAAAAAGTATAGTATTTCAAATGTTTACTAAGTATAGAATTTCAAATGTTTACTAAGTATAGTATTTCAAATGCTTACTAAGTATAGAATTTCAAATGTTTACTAAGTATATTATTTCAAATGCTTACTAAGTATAGAATTTCAAATGTTTACTAAGTATATTATTTCAAATGCTTACTAAGTATATTATTTCAAATGTTTACTAAGTATATTATTTCAAATGTTTACTAAGTATATTATTTCAAATGTTTACTAAGTATATTATTTCAAATGCTTACTAAGTATAGAATTTCAAATGCTTACTAAGTATATTATTTCAAATGTTTACTAAGTATATTATTTCAAATGTTTACTAAGTATATTATTTCAAATGCTTACTAAGTATATTATTTCAAATGTTTACTAAGTATATTATTTCAAATGTTTACTAAGTATATTATTTCAAATGTTTACTAAGTATATTATTTCAAGTGTTTACTAAGTATAGAATTTCAAATTTTCACTAAGTAAAGTAGTTAAAATGTATAATAGAAAATTACTATTCGAGATACCTTTCCACCAGGTCGTCAAAGAGCTGGTGGCCATCTTCCCGGTGCTGAGAGATTGGATCGCTGAGTTTCTACAGCAGAACAACTGTATGGTGGCCTCGGACATCGGGCACAACATGTTGATTGAACAGGTCTGACCCCGTTGAAGTTTACGAATGGTTTTTATTAATGTTAAAGGTCGTGTTGTTGCGGTATTAATGCATTAAAGTAAGCTAGTCTCCTAAGGGATCAACTGAATGGGAACGTAGTTTTTGTGTGCGTAACACAGTGTGTGTGTCAGGAAGAGAAAGAGGGAGGGAGGGAGAGAGAGAGGGGGGATAGAGAGAGTGAAGGGGAATAGGCGGCGAGAAATGGAGGCAGAGAAAGTAGGGCAGACGGGACAATTTGAAACAGCAGGTTCGATTCAATGATGCAATAAAAATTTCTGAGAGGTTCAGCTCTAATGGAAATAGGCCTACCTATCAGTTCCTTAAGGTGAACTGAAAGAAAAATCAAAATTACTGGCAGATGAATATCCAGCTGACATCAGTGAAGATCTTGCCATTGTAATGGAGATAAGCTTTTGCCATCTGCTCATCAAGAAAATTTTAGAGATTGAGAGTCCACTTTGTATAATAACTTTAAAGCCAACGAAAATACATGATAAACTAATTGGAAAACAATAAATACTTGTTTTATCAACTACTGGGGTGTTTAAATGTAGCTTCATCTCGTATTTATGTTTTGTTTTTTTTAAATTTAAAGCACTTAGTTATGTCTACTCGTCAAAGGAGTCTAAGTTCTATGTACTTAGTTGCAATATGAAGAAACTGGAATTTGTTCACTTTAAAAGTAATTATTTGAATAATATGCAAGTTCTTTCCCTTGGTCTTTTAAAATTAAAACATGCTTTGAAATGTACGAAATAATTTTTAAAAATGAGGTACTGTTATTATTATCGTAGAGATAATAAGGACAGAAAAGTTTGTATTAAAAAAAATATAAACCCAAATTATATCATTTCCTTTGCAAAGAAAAACTGTAAAACGGGATCTTGGTCAATTATTTCAAAATATCTCTTCCTCCTCAAAAAAATGAGTAGTCTACATAGTTTTAGATTATCCACCAAAGGGGTCCTGTGCGATTACGACTTAACTGAGCAATTGTAGTACGCCTGCGCTGGAATTGGGGGGAGGGGGAGAGGCTTGTCTGTGGGCATATTGTTTAAAGGCCAGCATGTAAGGTGGAGGACTGGCTGTAGGCATTATGTTAATTTCTCAAAATATCCCGGACCAGGTGTAAAAAAAAAAAAAACTGCACCCGGTTCATTAAGCCCTTGAATAAAGTGCAACTAGACATTGGGAAATTTTCCAAGATCTTGGGAATTGACGATCTTGCTTTGGGATCTTGGGAGTAATTATGAAAGTGAAAGGCTGCGACTATTCGCACCCGGGTACCAGAAGTGAGAGGTTGGGATTAAAAAAATATTTAAAATATTATTGTTGGGTTTGTAAGACAAAATGAGGAATCAAATGAAAGATAATTGAATGGACTATATGTTTGTAAACTTAATTCTTCAGTTCAACTAAAATAAACTACCACTAATGACATCCAAATAGCATTTAGTCAAAATGGACCCGGGCACGAATTGGACATTTTAGGAGGAAATTTTGTGAAAATTCATTAAAATGACAGAATAAAACGAATGAAATCCGAGAGGCTGGTTGAGCTTTTTAATGTTATTGATTATAAAAAATCTTCTTAAAATAAAGGTAATATTGTATTAAAAAGTAAGAATTTTATTTTAAATTCCATCTATGACTTTGTGTAAGGACTTCGGTATGATCCGGGAAGTGCCGAAAACCGGGTATCGTGATTTCGTTGTCAAAATGGCGACCTCCACTTTTTAATTTACCGAGGGTTGTGTTGTTTAAGATTTTTTTTGCTAAAGTTAGTTTTGTTATTAAATTCTATTTCTGCCCTCAACTTAAAGCAGACATGTTTGTTGTTCATGTGACACTTTTCTTTAAGAAAAAATTTGACAGTTTGACATTGAAAATTAATGGTAAATAATAGCTAATTTGACTCTTTCATAATTTTTTTTTGGAAAATATAAGTTTAAAAAGAGAAAATACCAATGTTAGATGTAGGCATAAATGACAACATATCCAAAATTCGTGAGGTTAGGACCCCGCCATGGGTGAGAAATTTGTGTGCAAAATTTTTGTCACATGTGTCCCAAAATTACCTATTATCGATAATGGACGTTTTTGTAATAAGCAACTTGATTTACACTGGAAATCCAGCATATTACCCACTAATAACTAATTTTAAAACAAAGCAACAATTTACTAGCACAAATACCTATTTATAATATTATCTGATGCTTTATTTTGAGGTATTAATTGGGGGAGTGGGATAAATAACCCTAGCCTTAGTAGCATTATTACACTTACAGTAGGAAAATATATATATATATTTATTTATATATATATATATATATATATATATATCCTTTAAGCCTAGTATAGACCTAGTGACATCCCAACTTGTTATTGCAGAATCTATTATAGGTAAATGATATTTATGGCTATGTAGGCCTAATCATATTTTAATAAACATTATGATTCTTAAAATAAAATTAAAAATGTAAATATTCACTTACCTTTGATATTGAAATATCCTGTATTCACTCACAAATCACAATATTCCACAAGAAACTTATTATATAATATAATCCTCAATATTCAAGAAATAACACACTCTGCCACAGTGATCCAAGAATTTCTTAAGATATTATTAAAGAATAATCATAAAAGCTTGTACTTACCTCAAGCAAATGACTAGAACTTATTTTAATTTCTATCAACTGTCAAAGTTGATACATTTTGATTTGTGAAACAAGATTACTAACTTAAAATAAAGAATCTGCTATTTTTTTGGTCATATTCAAATGAGACTAAAAATACATATATAGAAAATGGAAAAATAAAAAGTATAATTGTCAATTTTAGATAAAGGAATCAAATAATCCCTGTATTATTATTTGATACTTATAAATGTTAAACAATTCCATTGAAAATTTGAAATTAATATCTAAAGAATATTATTATTGTTATAAAATTAGGGAAATTTAATATATATGTGTTTTTAAAAAATATATTAATTAAATACAAATAAGTGACGAGTCAGCATATTTGATACATTTTAATAAGGAAAATTATCAAGATTAAAAATATTTTTTTGCGGAATATTAACAAAAGCTACAATTGTATTTTGTGGCTTAATTTTGAAGAACTCATATTTAACTGTGTTCCCTGTAAATATTATATTTTTGTCTCATTTTATAACAAAGTTATAGGCATAAAAACAATAGCAATATAAGGGGGACGAAATGTGGAGGAAAATCCCATAGTGAAAAAGTGCTTTTGAGGTCCATACTAAAAAATTCATAACTTTTGAACCACTTGAGCTAGAAAGTTGATCTTGGTGTTTTTGTAAACCACTCTATTGGCTCTATACAGCTGTAGTAGTTTTATATTTTTTAAAATGTTTAGAAATTTTCATCAAAGTGCCTAAGACTTTGTGTTAAATGTTGACCGAATTGACAGTTTTCACCGACGTTTATTCTCAACAGTAAATAAACTTATAATTATTAATATTCGGAAATATTCTTGATACTCGTTCAACCCCAATCACTACAATCCGTTGAGTGAAGGGACTAGGGGCGGGTGTGGATTCACCAAAACTGCGGCACGGGCACAGATATCAATAATATCCGGGTCTGAATAGTCTAGCCCTAGCTTTTTTTGAAAATATGGCACGATGTCTCACTACGCAACTGAATGTTCGTCTTTAAAATGCATTAAAAATATTTCAATGTACTTGTAGTAAGTCATTTAATTTGTGATTGCGTTCAAGCCCTGTAAATGAAAGAATTTGACGGATGAAATAGTTGCAAGCTATTTCTATCTAATCTATGTATGTTACTATGTTTATGTTCTTAATAATCTCTTTTTTTATTGCTGTGTTTGCTGATGAAGTATGATTATTTATTATGATGAAGGCTTACAGTGAAAGTTTCAGCCAAAACAAACTTTGTTTCTCTTGTATTGTTCTACTATTCAAAGCTGTCACTGTCAGTACTGTCACTGTCAATTATCCAGATACCTGTTCTTACTATTTGAGTCACATGAGAGTAAATATGAACGAAAAATTAAAAGTAAACAATTTTCAACACCATGTCCAATGTATGGCATAGTATCTAGTCATAGTGATCCACAGCCCATTTATTTCTAGGTATTGCGTCTTCTATACCACTTGGTCAAGTTTGGCTACTACATGGATCATGATGACGTTGGACAATTGTTACCTCCCATGTTGAGTTTATTAGATGGCAGACATGACTTCCCTTTTCCAAAAGACAGAGATAAAGGTATTAAAATTATGGATACTTTTGTTGGCTCTGTAATGCATGATGATAAGTAGGTTAATAATATTATTGTGTAAAGCAAAAGTTTTCAGAAATAAAAAACCCCTATGTCAGAGCATTCAGGGGTAATAAGGGGAGAGACTGCAATCAGGTTAGTACAAAATAAAATGAGTAGAACAGAGTAGGGTTAAACCTGAAAAAATAAACGCAACAAAACAGCGAACGTGTCGGCAGAAAGCCTTCGTCAGCGAACAAAATAACAGAAAAAACGGTATAAAAATAAAAATAAGAAATAGCACTTAGCTGGTAAGTAGTGTCTGTGGGCAGCAATAGAAGTGTGGCAGAAGGAAAATGAGAGTTTAAATAAGCAGCGGTGAAAAAATGGGGGGAGAAAAATGTTCACTGTGATAGGTCAGAACGTGGAGGGGCGGAGCTAGGGTCAAGCTGTGAACAGAGACATAACATTAACCTGACTGATAATTTGTGAAACATTTTTAAATCTATAGTGATCAAACAATGTCTCTCCTCTCCTGTAAGGTTATTCTAAAGATGCCATGAAGCAAGTCCTGCAGTTCCAACACGCTGACCGCTATGAAAAGGCTCCTGAAACCATAGCCATTGTCAATGCTAAATATCAGTTAGTCTTGTTGTTCATGTCTGTTTCTGAATAACTTAATTGACTCTGTTAAAACTAGATTTATCCAAAAGTTAATGTATCTTTTTCACTGTTTAAGGCTGCACATTTGTTTGCATAATTTCAAAGCACTAAAGTTTCAGAACCTTTTCATTTGATGTTTTTCTTTTTTGTGAAAAGAACAAGCTTTGACGTGAGGGTTGTAAAACTTACACTGACAATAGCAAAATGAAAGGAATTATATATAAACATGAAATTATGCTGTGGAAAAGCTAATGGCTTCACCACTTTCTAAATGATATCAGCAAACTTAACTGGCCAAATACCAGCCAAGTGATCTCAAATTTCAGTGTCATTTTTGCTAAATTTAAGGAGAAATCTTTAATTGATAAAATAAACTTTAGGCTTTACAAAGGAAGTTATCCACAACCTCAATAAGGCCAATACCATATGGCTTAATACCCTTTGTAGCGTAAAAGCTTTGGAGGGAGGAAATTCTATAAGAATGTACAATTTTTATAAAAAGCTCAAATTACTATTCCTGTGTGAAAATATCTGGCCATGTCTTCCAGAGCTCTAGAAGTTCTCGACCTACTTCTCACGTACCAGAGGAACTCCAGACTTCAGGTATTTATATAATTCATAACAATAAATTTCACATTTATAAATTGCAACTTTATAAAACCTATTTTGTTTGGGCTTTTTACGTAAAAAAGAGAAAAAACTCTTCTGTTGTGACTGTATAAATGACACTGACAAAAATAAAAGGAAAGGTGCATGTGAAATCAATTATGGGATAGTAAAGGAAATGGAGTAAAAAAATGAAACTAAATCCCATTGATGCCACCAACCATCTGAGAAAATTCTCATCACATTTGTAATGCTCTTTATTATTTAATCCTCCATCTCAGAGCTTTGTTGGAAAGTTCAAGGTCGCTGAGTTGTCTGTTGCCTTACGGAAACAGGCCAGTGTTTTGAGCCCACTTCTCTATGACACATTCAACCCACATGACCAGTCCAAGTGAGTATCTTCCACACATGGCAGTCCTTTAAAATATGTCTCTCAGTTCACAGTGGGGCATAGTTTTTTTTCTTCAACATGAACGGGGCCAAATCTTATATCTATATGTTAGCAGGATATCATTAAAAAAATTACATTTGCTCCTTCAAAAAAAAAATTACAACCCATTTCAGAATAGTGTTTTGTTATCTGATGAATAGTTACCAACATGTTAACGATCATTTGTACATTACATTATTCAAAGCTTAAATTTAAAAAGAAATTCTTTCCTGTCCAATAGAAAATCATTGAGGAAACAGAGGCTGGTCAACAAAGAGATGCGAGATATGTTTAATGTCTCTGCCATCTTCGATATTGAGCTGCTCACTAAAGTGCTCACGGTATAAACAATGCTTACACGATTTATGTCTATGGTCTTCCAGGTTCAATGTTTACATTTTCTAAAACAAACCTTTGCTCCAATAAGTTAATGCATATTTTGAGGGGGAAAATCCCTAAATTGCATTATTTCTACTGGTACCAGGTATTACTAATGTAATATTTAAAGTATTTTTTTTTTTTTATAATTGTTTTAAACGCTCCTGTGGATACTGCTTACTCAGGAATCCTATTTTGATATATTTTTTTGTAGCCATTTAAGTAAAAAATTGTTCAAAGTAAACTTTGCCACCTGTTCAGATTGAGATACAAATTCATGAATATATCATTTAATTTAAAAGTTGGTGTGTCTCGACTATAAGGGTCATCCCCTATGGATTGCAGCTCTCTACTTACTGTTTGTTTAATGAAAATTGTCACTGAAACAATTAAAAGATATAACTATTATTATTATTATTATTATTTTAATGGTCTTATCAGACTTTGAGAAATTGTTGTTTTTTTGTTTTTTTTAGGATTTATCAAAGTATAAATACAACAAAGTCATAACAAAGGCTCTCAACATCCTGAACAAAGTCTACTCTTCCAAGACCAACATGTTCAATTTATCCTTCAGAGCACAGGCAAGTGAACTTTTAACATGTTGAATTTATCCTTCAAAGCACAGGCAAGTGAACTTTTAACATGTTCAATTTATCCTTCAGAGCACATGTAAGTGCACTTTTAGATATGTTCAATTTATCCTTCAGAGCACAGGTAAGTGCACTTTTAGATATGTAATTTATCCTTCAGAGCACATGTAAGTGCACTTTTAGATATGTTCAATTTATCCTTCAGAGCACAGGTAATTGCACTTTTAGATATGTTCAATTTATCCTTCAGAGCACAGGTAATTGCACTTTTAGATATGTTCAATTTATCCTTCAGAGCACATGTAAGTGCACTTTTAGATATGTTCAATTTATCCTTCAGAGCACATGTAAGTGCACTTTTAGATATGTTCAATTTATCCTTCAGAGCACAGGTAATTGCACTTTTAGATATGTTCAATTTATCCTTCAGAGCACATGTAAGTGCACTTTTAGATATGTTCAATTTATCCTTCAGAGCACATGTAAGTGCACTTTTAGATATGTTCAATTTATCCTTCAGAGCACATGTAAGTGCACTTTTAGATATGTTCAATTTATCCTTCAGAGCACAGGTAATTGCACTTTTAGATATGTTCAATTTATCCTTCAGAGCACAGGTAATTGCACTTTTAGATATGTTCAATTTATCCTTCAGAGCACAGGTAATTGCACTTTTAATTATGTTCAATTTATCCTTCAGAGCACAGGTAAGTGAACTTTGTTTAAAGCTTAATAAATAGCTTGTTACTCAAGTCTAAAGTGTTTACTAAATTAGTGAGATTTCTAACTGCCTTGTTTTTAATACTTTGAAGTTGGTTATATTTCTTACTGCATTGTTTCAATACTAAAGGGACAATGTGGCTGTGGTACCAACTAATTCAATTTTATATTTAGATTCTCCTGACACAAGACTCAGCCCGTGTCCACAGAGAGGTTCTCAAAAACATGCCTGTGCTGAGAAGACTGGCCAGAGCCAAACTGGACAATGAGCAGGTCAAACTGATGGGCAGTATACTGGACGATCTGGCTGAGTGAGTGGACACATTGTCCTAGTAGTTTGTGGATGGACATAAGTTTTAGTAGTAGTTTGTGGAGATTTGGTTTACTTTTGCCAAACAACTGGTCGAGTGAGTGGAAACATTTTGTATTTTTTAAATCTTGCCAATTGCATTACAAAAATTAGTGCATTGAATTGTATAAAGAATTTCTACGTTATGCAGCAATTACCTAACAAATTACCTATTAAATTACCCATCAAATTACCTACCTCAAAATGTATCTGACTGTTCAGCAAGTTCCATGTCACTAAAATGTTGTGTATATTATCTCTATAAATGTTATTCTTCTCTAATGTACATTTCTCCTCAAAATTAAATAATAAATATTGTGTTAATTTGTTCTAGATTTTGTCATCTTCCGATGACACCAGATGAACCTCATCCAATGAATCAAAACATTTTAATCAGCAATGGTAAATACTTAACAATTTAATGGGTGTTTTTAATCAGCAATGGTAATGATTCAACTATTTCAATTTTTTAAAACATTTTTTAGACCACAACCTTATTTGTTTTTGTTTTTTTAAAAGTAATTTTAAAAAGGACCATTTCTTTTCTTCTTCTTCTATATCTTAAGGGCCCACGATCAATTTATTGATCATTTTGGCTCCTATGCATGTAGATGGGATTTGCAATGTTTCTGTTACTGGTGGTGATGAGGAAATTATGCACTAGGGGTTTGGAGGCTTGAGGCAATAGACACAAATGTGTCTAGTGTTGTCGCCTCAACCGTTCCTTTTGAAAAGTAAACTTCAACAAATTGTATGAACTCAATAAGTCGTGGCATTTATGTTAATATCTCCCTATGCTCTAATCCCTGGGAGATGCAGCATATTTTTGGGAGGCTATAAAATTAGAATAAAAGATTTTTTGTAGACTGTAGATAAAATGAGCAGTTTTCTGAATAAATAACAGGGATGGGGGCCATTGAGCTAAATAAAATGTTACAGAGGGCCACATGTAAATGCAGGTTGACAAATGCAGCTCTCATCCAATCAATCTATCAGTTTCCACAGTACAATTTTCTTTTTCAAATGAGGTTGAGTTCTGACCACACAAATTCCAAGAGATTTGTAAACATATAAAAACAAGTTCAGATTCCCACAAACTGATAGATAAATACATGCATCTCCAAATGATGAATAGCTAATTTACTTGCCAAACATTTCAGACTCTCATAATTCCGTTTCTGATTCACTAAAATTGAATGCTTCCTACAGGAATTCTGATCATACTTTTTGACATTCTTGTTCAAGAAGTTGATATAAAACTTTTTGTGAGTATTTTTTTTTTATTTAACATTTATCTCATTTTATTTATTTTTTTTTTGTAGGTGATTAAAAACAAAAAACGCACAGTCACTACTTTCTGTAATTTAAACGAATAGAATTATAAATAACCATGTGTATAATTTCCTGCTGGGAACCGGTTTCTGTGACCGTCAAGTAACCCCCTGCCCCAAAGATTTATAACATTAAAACAGTTACATGACATTTTAGCATTTGCTCCTTGTATGAAATAAGCTTGCAGCTGATTTTTCTACCATCCATTTTGAGCTAATGCCTACACAATTCTTGAGATAAACTCTTTTAAATTAAAATGTGAATCTAACACAAATTTAGAAATCAATTTTAAAGAATAAATATCTTCTGCTATGTGTTAGGGCACAAATTAAAAATCTGAAGCTTGACAAGATTAAAATATAATCAATTTAAAAATATTTTGAAATGTTAATTCTAATAAAAAAAAATGTTTATATTGTTGGGATGCACAGTTAAAGAGCTGAGGTTTTTTTCTTAGTTCGATACCCCAAAAGTTATATTTACAACCGTCTTTAGAGATTACTGTAGTTGTGATTATATCATTGTATCTACAACTGTCTTGAAGATGTACGATTAGTGTGCTGTGTGTGTGGTGTTGAAATAATCTCAGGGATTAAAAGAATGGTTGTCATTTAGTAATAAAGAGATGTCACATACATTAATGAACTGATTTAGTAATAAAGAGATGTCACATACATTAGTGAACTGATTTAGTAATAAAGAGATGTCACATACATTAATGAACTGATTTAGTAATAAAGAGATGTCACATACATTAATGAACTGATTTAGTAATAAAGAGATGTCACATACATTAATGAACTGATTTACGGTACAACTAAGCTGAAATGGTGCCGTTTTCAATACATTTAAGCCAAAACTTTACCGCCTTCACTGAAAAGCGTAAATTGATGTTTCTTTATTTTGTTTCTTAATTTCGCTCAACAGGAACAGTATGGGGGTATGACGTCAGTATTCAGAAAGACTTTGTATCTCCTCAAGTTGCTGGCCAGGGAGAATGAAGCTGTCCAGATGCACATCTTTGAGAGACTGGACATTTTACTGGATGTCAGGGTGGTGGAGAGCGAGTTAGCTATAGCCCTTAGAGAGGTAAACTCGATATAGCCCTTGGAGAGGTAAACTTGATATGGCTGTTACAGATATAACTTGATATAGCTGTTATGGGGTAAACTTGATATAGCTCGTGGAGAGGTAAACTTGATATAGCTCTCAGAGAAATAAACTATAGCTCTTAGAGAAGTAAACTTGATATAGCTCAAGAGAAAAACGCTTGATATAGCTCAAGAGAAGTAAACTTGATATATCCCTTAGGTAGGTAAACTTGATATATCCCTTACACAGGTAAACTTGATATATCATTTAGATGGGTAAACTTGATATATCCCTTAGATGGGTAAACTTGATATATCATTTAGATGGGTAAACTTGATATATCCCTTAGATGGGTAAACTTAATATATCCCTCAGGTAGGTAAACTTAATATATTCCTTAAATGGTTAAACTTGATATATCACTTACATAGGTAAAATTGATATATTCCTTAGATGGGTAAACTTGATATATCTCTTAGTTTGGTAAAATTGATATATCCTTTAGGTAGGTGCCATTGATGTATATTATTTATAAAGGCCAAAATTGTTAACATTTTTAGAAAGGTGAAGTTTCTATTACCCTTATAACAGTAAACTTGGTATTTGTGTAACCAACAGGTCTGAGAATTGTCTGAGGAATGTGCCTCATGCTGACGCACACTCAAATGTTATATCTTGATCAGGTCCCTTGATGAAAAATAGGTTTAGAACCTCTGAGTTTGGCACCCACGATATGATCAATATCAATCAGCTGGACACTTTCCATTTATCTGTCTCTACCAGCCACCCACCCAACCACACACCCACACAACCATGCACCCAACCACCCACCCACCCAATCAACCACACACCCTTTGCCCAGATATATTGTATATGATTAAAGCTTTATTGCAGTCCGACACTCTTATAATTAGTTAATTGTATATGATCAGAATGGCCTGCACACATTTTGGTGACTCAGGTGCTTGACTTGTTTCACCGCAGATCTGACATGCCGATTACACAACGTATCATGACAAAATGTCTCATTTTCCATGTGCAGGTGTTCTATGGCAACCAAAACACTTGTCTTAAGATCAACCCAAGGCAAATACAGAAGATCGTCAACAGAGCCGCGGACCTTCAAGAGAAAGGACCAGAGTTCCTTGACCTGCTTTCCATGATCGTCAAGGTGGCCGGCACGGACTTGACCCTGAAACGGAACCAGGCCTACGTGATGAAGTACATCATGCAGAACTATAAGAAAGTCGCCTTTGTCCTTGACCTACCCAGGGAGGAAAGGTGGGTCATGGCATTTGAAGGCATTCACACAGTAGCTTTGGAGATATGAAATAAGTTTAATTAAATATAGGAATCAATCATGGACTAGAAATTTAGGCTAAACTATACTCTCTGGTTTTTGACGGGGTATATATCATGGACTGGTTAATTACGCTAAACTATACTCTCTGGTATTTGACTGGGTTTAAAATATTACTTTCATGTTACAGATAGAACATTCTAACTGCGCAAGACCTTGTTTCTTTTAAGAAATATCATCGCCGTTAATGAAGGAGCATTGCAAGTGCTATATAGGAAGCTGATATATTGTTACATTAGCTTATAGTAATCGCTACCCGAGGCTGTGCTATCATGTAAAAATAATATTTGTATCTTTTCAGAGAAGCCATCCTGACCCAGCCAGATAAGATGTCGCGTCTCCGTTACTACATTTGTTTACTTGACCTTTTGGCAGCATGTGCAGAGGTATGTAGCATTTTATACAGAAGTATGTAGTGTTTATTACAGAGGTATGTAGCATTCTATTTATAGGTGTGTGTTCTCGCCAAAGGTATGTAGCTTTTTTATTTAGAGTTATGTAGCGGTTATCCAGATGTTTCCTGTAAATTGGTGCAGTGCACGTCCTCTTGAAAGTTTTATGCTGCCAATGAATTTATAAACCAGCCAAATAAATTTTTAAACTGTTTTACATGAAAGTGTGTGTGTGTGGGGGGGATAATTCAAATCTCAAAACAGATCGTTGACTTCAGTAGAACATTTCTTAGAATTCGTGGTTAGCTGTGATCTGTACTGTAACTTGCACCCCAGCCAGAAAACAAATCAATAAGTTTACAACAGGTAAGTTGAAAAAACAAAGATGAGCTGTTTAACGCAGAAAAGGAAAGCGTTGCATTGCATTGTGTAACTTGTATTGGATGATGTTACTTGTAGGTATTACTTATATTATTTATTCACATTCACAGACGTTCATGATTATCTAACAAAGCACGAGGGCCAGAACTCCAAGATTTATTATTAGCATCACAACATTCATTAACTGAATAATGTACACCACTTGAAATAATACCTCTGTAAACTAGAGCAAACATAATTGTCATAACTTCTTCCACTTCACATTTGTTGAATCAACATTAAGATGCTGTTTAATACAAAAGTAATCAGAGCAAGTGCTGATCAAGAAATATTCAACGGTCACTCTTCCGGCCGCTTTCTTGCATATCCCATAACTCTCATCTTCACTTCTTGTTCCTTCTACTTAACCAAAAAATACATTCTTCCGAAACGACATTAATATCTAAATATTTGATCTGTGATACATTGGATAAGAAATCATTAAATAAAAGATAATTGTGTAAGGGTGGCTGTGTGTGTGTGCGTGACCATGTGGGTGTGTGGGAAGGTAGGGCATACACACATTTAGAGCTTTTGTTGACAGTGAATTTTGCAGGAGAACAGGCTTAAAGAAACTGATTCAGTACAAATCCTAGGTTTAGCCCAAAACACCCCCAAACGAGTATCTAACAGCTACATACAGAGGGATAGATTTTACTTGACACAGACGGCATGTTAGTGGTGAACACCTTTGGTGATTGATTCTCTAGACATGCCCACTGAGTATGCGTGCTTTCCAGGGTGAGAACCTCTTCATCGAGTCCCTGTGCCAGACGATCCTCCCCATGGAAGACCTGCTGGCCATCCTCAACAACCCGGCCATAGACAACGTCCTGAAGAAGCCGTTCCTCAGGTGCCTCCACCACGTGTACATGAAGAGCACGGGGAATGTCGTGGACATGCAGACCAGCGAGATACCCCATGACACGTGAGTCAATGCTGTGTGCTCAACTCCTAGTCAATTGTGTCTTGTGGCTTTTTCAACACATAAGATTTATGCTTCAAAATTATGCTTTGTTTCAGCAATGAGATATTTGCTGAGAAGGAAGTCTTAGCCCACAAAGACTAAATAATTTTTAATCGGGGGTGGGGGGGGGTGTCTTTTTAGCAAATGAGTGAACTGAGTGAGGAGTTTCCTAATGCGTATCTATCTTTATAGGTGGGTCTTGTATGAACTTGTCAGGGATCTCATTGTAAATTCTTGGTGGATCGGAAATGAATAACTTTCCCAATAATTAATGAAACCCAGCCCAGTCTGAACCTTGCCGTGTCTAATGAGCCTTGTAGACATTTTTGTTTAGTTTAGATATCTGGAGATCGTTATAAGACATCTATATCAGTAACCTCATAATTATGCATTTATGTACACTAATACCATGTACACTAGTACCATGTGCACTAGTATCATGTACATTAGTAAAATATATGTATCCTATTTATGGTAAATGTTTACTAATATGTAATCAAGATGCTGGAGCTCTGTTTAATCCACTTATTATGAATATTTATTATATCAAGTGATCATTTTTTTCCATGAATGCCACTATATCAGCGTCATATAAGACTTGTTATTCTTACTTCACCAGACTCACCTTTCTCATCAATACATTTACAGCTAGACTGTATCAGAAACCTATATTGACAAATATCTATGTAACAAAAATAATGACAGCACACACTTCACTTGTTATTTAGATATCTTGTTTCAAACAACCTAACATATGTAACATGATGTAAATCAGACTTAGGGAACAGCGAGAATGCAATGGGTGCAAAAGAGTGCATCCTGTTAAATATTTCAGTGAGAGGCCAGTTTCATGAAACACCACCTCAAGACCCCATAAGCAGAGGTTTAATTGATCCAACTGGCAGACAGTTTAGAAACTTTTTATTTTGACCAAGGGGAAAATAATGTTGAATAGTTTACTCCATATTCCTAATACTCTCCAAGTCCAATGGCTTAATTGCTGCCTTGGTGTAAAATAAATTCAAGTAATAGTTACTATAATATATTGACAATGACAATGCTTACCACTTCCCCAGAATCCTGATGTTTACATTGTTCATGAAGTCTTGCTCCATTAATTGATTGATGGGGTCATTTCTTACCGAAATCTGAAACGAAAGAAGCCAGTTCTGTTCTAAACGAAAATAACACTCTAAAATCCTGACAAAAAATATGTAATATCCCCTTGATAAACGGTGCTCATTGGTTTAAGGTGGACATCATGTTACCAGTGTTAAGTTTGTTTCGTGCCGCGCTATGAATCAACCATTCGTCAGCCTCTGCACTATTTAGCCATTCTTTTCTCTCTTCTGTCTTTCCTCCTCAAAAAAAAAAAAAAAAAAAAAAAAAAAAAAAAAAAATTAAAAAAAAAAAAGATGTATTTAAGAACTGGTGTTGGAATGGACTTTGTATGAATAGCTCTAGCATGGGACTGGTCCAATCACTGCACAGTGCTCAATGGGACTGGTCCAATCACTGCACAGTGCTCATGTTCTTGTTTGAAGGCTGCTCCTCACAAACACTCTCATTTCAATGCTTATTTCAACATCTCTTTTGACTGCATTCTAAACAATGTTCTCATTTTTTTTTTTCTGATAAATTTTTTTTTCTTCTGATAAATTTTTTTTTTCTGATAATATTTTTAAAAAGAAGAAGCTGTACTCTATTGACCCTGCCAGAAATGCTGTGCTGCTGTCCTGCCTGCTGTTTGAACATATTTAATATATTGAACCTCATTAAATTCCAAAGCCCTTGTGCACAGTCGCTGTGCACAGCCGCTTAAATAAGATTTGCAAGCTTAAACAAGATCTGCACTCATTTCATTAACCTAACACATTTTAAAGAGATTTATTTAAATTCATCCTAGAAACCTTCAATCATTAAGTGGACAAGAAATATTTATAAAATGTCTTCCACTATAAGTAAAAAAAATTGTATAACTTCAATCCACGACCATTTCTACAATTATTATTTTATTTATTATTTACTTGCTCGTTTCAATTTGACCAAATTTTTTGTAGGATTTCCCTAGAAGCGAGAGGGCTTTTCCAATTCATTCATGAGGTTGTATGTGAACATCTGCGGTAAGGCTGAGAGATACAACGATTTCCCCCCTCTTGATGCTATTTTGGTCTCATCCAGCTTGATCTCGCTGTTACTCCAATGGCTCTTTAACTCTGTACTCCATAATTGTTTTCTTTGTCGTTCTCTCCCCCCTGCCTTTCATGAGAGTGCATTTCTCATGCTCTATTTCTCATGCTCTATTTCTCATGCTCAGAATGTTTCCTTAAAGCATTTTGTATTTCCCAACTCTCTCTCTGTATATCTCTCTAAATATCTCTCTATTCTAATTGGATCTGTTCGTTGAATCAATGTTATGTCTCCCATTTCCTAGTTGTATTTTTTTCCAAACCTCTATCTAAAAAGGGAATCATGAAATAATTTTGAGCTTTACTCCTACCATCACAAAGTAAAACCTTTATAAATTATGGCATATCACCACAACAATGTGGTTACACTTTAAAATTTTTGTCTAATTTCTTTTTGAACGCACAATACTATATAGTAAAACAAAATAATGCGTTCAAAAATAAATGTGAAGCAAAGTTTTAACGTAAAAACTGAATAAAAAGATTCAACCAAATTTCCGTTCGATCAAATTACCGTTGATCAATATACCGTCGACGAAATTTCTTTCCATCAAATTTCGGGATATGCAACAATCTGTTAAATCCCTGAGGGGCAGACTTTAATTATGCTGAAATGTTAAATTCTCTTAAATATGAGTTAAAATTATCACTCACCAAAAAATGTCAGGTGATATTGTGCTCTCTCCCTGTTCCTTCTGATCTAACCAGAATATTACAATGTCCTCTTCACTTCAGTGGGACTTATCAGTCCTGAGAGGTGCATCAAACCCAATAAAAATGCATTGATCCATTTTCTAATTGATCTGTTGAACTCACAGGATCTTGAACCTTTGACAGCCTGAATACTGCCTGATGAAATCAGTGAAATTACGAGGGCACCAAAATGTTTGACAATATGAAATTGTACAGACGTTTGGTAGTGACTCTGGGCACGTTTACTCAGACTCAAGTAAAAACGACTCTTTAAACACAGTCCCACAAAAGAGTGCATTTAAAACAGCATGCATCTGTCATGTGATAGTAATTTGCCTGGGGCCAGCACCGCAGTGGAACCCCACCAAAGGGGCATCACCCCAGTGGGACCCCACCAAAGGGGCATCACCACAGTGGGACCTAACCAAAGGGCCATCACCACAGTGGGACCTCACCAAAGGGCCATCACCGCAGTGGGACCTCACCAAATGGCCATCACCACAATGGAACCCCATCAAAGGGGCATCACCACAGTGGGCCCTCACCAAAGGGGCATCACCAAACCAATGAAAACCATTGCTAAAACACAATACTTACTATTACTTCAAAAAGTTGACATTTCAATGACAACAGCAGGTACAATGAAACCCCCCACCCCATCTTTGAGAAGAATTGTGTGTCTCTCATCAAGGCTGGTGGCATTTTTGACATTGTCTTGGTGGATTTTGGGGGGGGGGGGGGGANGAAGATAACTGACACAGTCTTCGGAATACTTTTGAAGATTTGAGGGGGTGTACAAATTTGAAAAGTATCTCTTTGAGGGGGTGGGGGTGTACAAATTTGAAAAGTATCTCTGTGAGGGGGTGGGGGTGTACAAATTTGAAAAGTATCTCTTTGAGGGGGTGGGGGTGTACAAATTTGAAAAGTATCTCTGTGTTCTAAATTTCTGCACGTCCATCCTTACTTTTCATTGTTGACTTCTAATGCACTTCCTCAATTTATCTTTGATTTTTATTTTATTGATTCTTATAACCTGATCTTTATATCTACATCAAATATGTTTACATATATACATTGATATAAATATATAATATGTTTTAGTTCTGTCAATATTCCTTTAAACTCTTCAATGTTATGTACCGCTCTTTCTCTTTACCTACCAACCTAACGAGGTGACATGTTCAAAGCCCATAATTATTTAGGGTCTTCCTATATATTCATTACAGGCCAATCATAATGATGTTAAATTTGTATTCTTCCCTTACTCTCTCTAAGACATGTCAACATCTGTGATTAATTTTCTTCATTAGTGTCCTTGGAAGTACTTTATGTCATATAGGGTTAGTGACATCTTCAAATCTGATACAGGGTTAATGACATCTTCACATCTGATACAGGGTTAATGGCATCTTCACATCTGATACAGGGTTAATGGCATCTCCACATCTCATACAGGGTTAATGGCATCTTCACATCTGATACAGGGTTAATGGCATCTTCACATCTGATACAGGGTTAATGGCGTCTTCACATCTGATACAGGGTTAATGGCATCTTCACATCTGATACAGGGTTAATGGTGTCTTTAAATTTGATATATTGTCACATATGCGTTTAATATAGGGTATATGACACTTTATTTTCTCATCTACATCTGATATAGGGTAAATGATGCTATTTTGTCTCGTCTTTACACCTGATACAGAGTTAGTGACGTTATATTTGTCTACATCTGATATAGGGTAAATGACACATCGTTTGTCTTTACATTTGATATAAGGTAAATTATGCTAGATTTGCCTTACATCTTTACATCTGATCTTGGGTTAGTGACGTTATGTTGGCCTTGCGTTGATAACAGTTAACAGCTGACTTGCTAGTGTATTCACTTAAGGTGCCTGGAGTTGTTAGTTATTTTAATCTAGATGAACAGTTTACTATATCAACAGTGTACTATATCAACAGTGTACAATATCAACAGTGTACTATATCAACAGTGTACTATATCAACAGTGTACTATATCAACAGTGTACTATATCAACAGTGTACTATATCAACAGTGTACTATATCTACAGTGTACT